TCCTGCTGAGAGCAGGTTCTGCCAACCCCAAACAAAGCATCATTATACCAGAAGGAATATTTCAGAGTAGCTATTCCAGAACAGCATGTACAGACATGTCCAACTCTCATTATACATGTGACTTAGAGCAAAGATTTTAATTGTCCTTTCTCTTGTCTTCTTCCTTTGCTGAGGAACTATCCCATTCTAGTACCACACCTGGGTCTTGTTCTATATGGACGGGCAGAGTTAGCTGCACTTCAGTTCCCAGTTTCTGAAGGGTCTGCCAGTAGAGGTCAACAGCGGAGAAGGACCTTCAGTTAGAAAGTCTTCAGGATACATAAATAGACTTTAAAGTGCTACACATCTTTATGCAATTCTAGTATTAAGACATCTGATATTAGGTACTCTGAATTATCTGACATCTCCTGAATTCAGCACTTCTTTCTTTTCTTAAAACAAAACAGGACAAGAATGGCAGCTACCTATTTAAAAAAGGTAAGCTGTCAGCATTCCCACTCTGATCTCGAGCTCCTTAAACCCTCAGCTTTAAGGGCCTGTTTATGAAAATGTAATATCCTGTGTGGTAGGGATGACTACCAGATTGCCTCCCTCCCCCCTCCACAAATGCCTAAGGGTTTTAAAAAGAAAGTTACCCTGCTCTTCCCCACAGAAAGATCACAGTGCTGCTGACTTCAGAGTTTTCCTAGTGTTATAATTGCAGTAGCTCAGCACAGACTCAGGCACTACTTCTGATCTGGCATCAAAAACCTGCCCCATTCTGAGCCCTGGAAAGCACACAGATTTCCTGAACTGGACCAAAGCCTCACTGAGAACTTAGTAGGAAGCTCTTCTTTCCAAATATATCTGAGAGCACACAGTACTTCTTCAGCACACATATATTAGTTTTAGACAGCTTATTTTGGATAACATTTCTGTCTCTTGCTATTTATACTAGAGTGTCAATGTAAAAATGTAAAAAGTTACTTCTGAAATAATTTTTTTAAAAACCAAAAACGTTCAGCTAAAACATTTCTATAAGCCCCACAAACATTATACAGTAAAATCAACCTAAAGCTTTCCTTTCAAAAATTTGGAGACAAGCATTTCCAAACAATAAATGCATACTTGGATCAAAATCAAAACTGTATTAAAAGGCCTTCGCATTATTCTTTCTCTGAAAATATAAATGCCTCAAAACCAAAATGCACAGGCAGTATCAGCTGAGCACAAGTTATTTTAACCTAAACAACCAAAGCTCCTCATGTTCAGCAGATGGGAAAACAGCACACATCTACAATTATCACAACCAGAAGCAGAACTGAAAGGCCCTCAGGACACTATGGAAAACTGTGGGTCATACAGGTCAGATCAGTTCCAAAATAATCCAGTCTCCCATAAAGGTGAGTCAGAAAAATCCTTTAGAGGAGACACTTTAGTCTCTCTAGAAGTTTTTGGAGGGACTGAAGAGTAACAGCCTTTTCAGTTTGGAGAAAAGACTGGAGAAAGGTTATGATGAAGGTTTACAAAACTATGAGGAATACAGATAGCTGGATGCAGAACTATATATAGTTCTTCAAAGCTAACAATATTCAGAAGCAGGGAGCTTTCAACAAAACCAGCAGAAGTGTGGTTTAATAAAGACAAAAAAATGCTCTTCTTTCCACAGAGAGCAGTGAACTTGTCACCCCTGGAGACTGCAGAGGCAGACAGTTCTTAAAAAGTTCAAAAAGGTTTTATACAAATTCAGTGGGTCTATGACCAAATACTAAAGGGAACAGGCAGAGAAGTACCTCCTAACCTCCCTGAGACAACAAATGAGCTTGACATGAAAGGACCACAAAGGTTCGTACAGCTCACACAATGTCTCACTAAACAGCATCTGCCATTGCCACTGTCACAGGCAGGATATTGGGCTTCATGGAGCATCAGAAAGGCATTTTTATGCTTCAGATTTTATTCACCTGGGTCAGTCCCTGCCCTGCCAGTCACAGGTACAAAGGGACAGCACTGTCCTTAATGGGAAACCTTCGTCTCTCCATTGCCTCCTCCGTGCAGTTTTGTCTCCCCAGTATTATTCATACTATGAAAATAGGAGACTGCATTACTACTCCCAGAACATTCTAGAAATACTACTGTAGAGAAAATATTGTAGAACAAATGATGTATCATCAGGGAGGGACCTTCCTTGTACTACTCTAAGTCCTTTTGAAACAACAGTTTTACACCAAAAGGTACAACCTACACAGACAGACTTTGGAAACACAACCAAAACAGGTACAGGGCATCTAGGAAACCAATCTTACTCAAATTCATTAGCTTTTCATCTCCCACCTCAGCAATGCTGGTCCAATAGGCTCTTCCTCCATATTCAGTCCCAATCCAAAATGCTCTGGAGTTCTATCTTTGCTGATTTCCAGTGACCACAGTGGTTGATCAAAACTGAAAACAAGCTTCCCAAGCTGACCAAACAAGTAGATTCCAGGCAATGAGGTTACCAAACAAGTTTAATACAGTACTGGGCTTGGCGTGGCACTAACACCGCCCTCCAGCAAGCGTCTGTGATGGAAACAAGTATCACCTACTGCGGAAGAGGACTGGGATTATCTGTCATGGGCTGAGCCTCGGCAGGGTAAGGCTGCAGCTGCTGGAATAATGAAGAGTCTGCTATAAAAAGCACATTGCTTGACAGCTCCAGAATTTTGGCTACAAAAAGGCTTCCTGAGGTCTCCCAGCATCATTACCAAAAGTACTTAATAGACAAGACTCGTTTCAAGTACGAGCAGATCAAGACTTTCCCATATGAAACTATGCAGACAGACTTGTTTCAACATTACTTCCTCCCAAAGGGAGTGGGAAGGTCCCTGTGATACTCTAACAACCAGAGTGATAAGTCCTCTAATGCTTTGGAACTTTTTTTATCCAGAATTCAATTTATAGACATTTGGAGGAAAGAAATAGGACATAACATCAAAAATTTGCATTTAACCTTTCTTCCTCATTTTGATGCCCTATCAGCTCAGTCATGACTCTCCTGCATCACTTACAGTCAGATTAGTCTCAGCTACTTACTAGCTACAGAGAAACCAAATACATTACACTACAAATCCATAATCCCCTGTAGCTCTTCCTATGTTTTCTTCTGTCTTTAAACAGGATCTGTGTTTAAGCACCACTTTTTAAAGAAAGGTCACCAGATAAATTTAGATCTATTCAGTTTGTGGGCTGTGGTAAATTGTATTTAGAGATGTTGTTTACTGAGCAAAAAAAGAATAATATACTTTAGCTGCCAAGAACTTTTCTCATGGAAATTATTTTTATATTTATTATTTATATGATAATTATTTTTAGGTGACCTTTTTCAAAGCCTCTTGAAACCACTTAACAAGGAAGCAGCACAACTGTAAGGACTCTTCCAGAATTATGATCAACATGGCCAACTGGTATAGGTCTCAGGTATACTTTAGTACTGACACTGCAGAAAACAGCCTTTAAATTGCATTCAGCTTAGATCCAGAGAACTGTATTCATGAAAGAGCAAGGCTTCCCTGGTGGGATGCTGTGTGTCTGCCTCAGTATAGCTAGGCAACCTTGCTTATTTAAGCTTCTGACCACCTCCTTAAACTAAACTAAGACACAAGGGGCATTGCATACATATTGCAATCAGTGAAGCAACCCTACGTGAGTCTGTCTGGAAGATCACAGCCAGGCTTCTATATCCAAAGAAGGGGAGCACAAAAGCCATGGCAAATGCAACAGAAGAGTAAGAGAAATGTTGGAAGGTACTATCAGAGAAGACAGCAGAAACCTTACAGTTGAATCACAGAGTCACACTTTGCACATTACACCCTACAAAGCCAGCCATCTCTTCTCAGTCTACTCTGCTTACCTCTTAAGTCCAGCCGTCTTGTGTGGAGGAGACTTTTCTGCCTGCTTCCCTCTCTGTTTCATGTCAGAAAGTCGCTGCCGCATGTTGATGGTCATCTCTGAGCTCAGACGCCAGATGAAAATACAGCTGAAAGAGGCAAAGTTGAGGCTGGAGTCATGTCTCAGCTCAGCTTATTGATATTATCAATTCCCACTGAAGAGACAAACAAGAGGCCTTCTGTCTGTGGCAGGGAGACACACACACAGAAACAGCTTCACAGAAACTCAATCCCATCCCAAGCCTCGTGACAAAAAGGTAAAACCTGCCTGGCAAAGACTGCCTGTGGGTAAGAGCAACTGCAGAGATATTTGCACAGACTCATCTCTAATCCCATACCTTTAACTGACTATCTGACCAGCTGCTGAAGGAAATGCCATAACAAGTCCCCCCACGGTCACAGTAGGATAACTGAAGCCTACAAATGTCCTTTATATCCTATAGCAGCGTCTAAGCTGCAGTCTCTGATTGCAAGTAACCCCATGAGCAAGGACTTGCTAATGTCCATGGAGTCTCTGTGGTGTAATAATGGTTAAGTTTATGTGGCAGTACTTTTTGGAGTCAGGGTACTCCTAATATTTTACTTGGACTCACACCAGGAACCTTCTAAGGAATTTAATTGAATTTGGTCAATGGATTCAAAACTGTCTAAGAGAGGGAAACAAACAGTGTGATCTCATTGGTCTCTTTTTCTTCATACATCTGGCTACAATAGAAATAAAAAAAAAAGTTCCTCATCACATTAGAGAATACTGTATCTCATCTTCAGTTACTAGAAAGTAAAATGATCCACATTTTCTTAGAAATTTAACCTCAGTGCTAATTCTTTTTATCTCACCCATCTTTCCTGTCTAGCTGAGTGTACTTACACTGACGGAGAAACAGAAGTGGTGCTTTTAAGGGTCATTTATAAAATCCTGCACACTGCTTTGGAGTGCAAAGAAGACTTAATCAAGTTCCTCAAGACCCATCAGTGCCACCATACTCATGGGTGCTTCAATCCATCAGGGAGTTTTCAACAAGGGGCTTTCCCCTCTTCCTTGCTAGTTTGTAAAAATTCCTTTGCTCTGCCATTTTGAACAATGGCCATGAACTTCAGTCTCCTGCACCTGAGGCAAATGCCAAAAGCACCAGGACCCTGACTGCCTGCATCTTCTCAATCTTTTACTCTGATGAGAAGATACTTTAAAAGGTTTGATTTCCACGCCACATGAAAAAAACAAACAAACAAACAAACAAACCCAAGCTACACAACCTAAAAACAAACAAACACAAGAACTGACCAACAAAAAACCACACCACACAAAACCCATAATGCCACTTTTAGTCTGAGACTTTAATGAAAAACTAAGTATACCCTTCCTGCCCCCCAGTGTCCCTTCCTCTGTGACAAATCTCAGGAGCGTCACTCCCAGCTGCTTAAGTCCCACACAGACACAGACGCTTCCCATCAGCAGTGAACACGCTGTCACCGTTTCACCCCAGCTTTTCAGCCAGGAGAAAGTGGTGAGGCACTGCATCTGGGAACTATGGCCACCCAGGGACAGCCAGCTGCTTCCCCTCTAGCAGCTCTCTTGAATGTAACAGCAACCAGAACCTGCTGCTGAGAAAATTACTGAAGAGCAGGAAACAAAATTCAGAAAGCAAATCTGGCTTATTCATTTATCCCACCCCCACAGCTACCAAACCTAGAGATAAGCAGCAAACAGTATGAACTTGTAAATACATTAACATTCAACACAAATCTCTACAGAATCATGCTGCCACCTACACCTTTTGCTGCTTTTATTTCTTGCAGTAATTTTCCCACATGGGTCTCCCAGTCCTTGTGCCCTTCTCCCTTCTCCGTTTTGCTTTTTAGTCTCAGTTTTATTCTTTGCACGTGCTTCTGTGTGTGAACAGGCTATTTTCCCTTCTCTCCTTTGAAAAACATGCCTTTGCCCCTCCTTACAGCAAACTTCTTTGTGAATTCTTTCCTTGCTTCTCATCCACTTCCTCCAGACCTTTAGTGAAGGAAATGATCCTTTTGCTCATGGAAATGGTCAACAAGGGAACACTGCACTAAATTAATAGGATGACTGAGGACCTCAAACCACCCACACTTCTGGAATTTATCACAAATCCGCAACACAAGGACTCTTCTTTTACTGCAACTTTTCCTCTATTTACACACATGAAAGGTAAAGAAAGAGAAAAGCCCTACGAATTACTTTTTACTGAAAGACAGAAATAACCAACTGATGCAATTTAAGGTGACATCATGTATATTCTGTAATAGCTCACCCTCTAAAACTATTTCTTTCAAGTTCAGTTGTGGTTTATTACTAGAAAAAAGGAAAGAAAGAATCTGGGCTGTTCTGGCCATGAAACAGTAGTATATCTTTCTCAAAGGACAAACTATTAATTTCAGCTGATTTAAGTATTCATTGATCTAGAAGTACTGGATCTACTCACCTCTACAATCATTCTATTAGCTGTGTATTCTTCTTTTTCCCTTGAGCTTAGTCTGGTGATTACTTAAGGTTTTGGTGAACTGATTGAGCAAGCTCAATCAGCAGAAAACTCAGCTGAGGGCAGAGGAGTGCTGATGTAGTGACCTAAATCAGCTTAAGGAGGAGTCAACCATATCACAACAGTCTTAGGGGAGTGGGGAAGAAGACCATGTAGACAGTAGCAAAGAGTGAGCACAGACCTGTCCCTTTTGCTGCTAGACAGGTTCATTCACCTTGTGAAACCTCACCAACAGAAGTACTGTAAGATCAAGTTTTGGCACCACCATATAGAATATGACAAGCTGCATTACATCACAGACCTGAAGGCTGGTAAGGCAACAGGCCACATCCTTGTCTCCTTTTCAGTAGGGAATAGCACCTACACTCAGAAAGACACAGGGGAAGCGTTTCACATTTAATTCCATGGAAGGATAATATAAGCTCTGTGAACTCTGCCAACAGCACTTAGCCCTAAGGTTTCTTTGGAACTCATAAAACATCCCTCATTATATATAAAAAACCAAACAATTCTACCTTCCTTCAGGACATACACTAAACCCAGTGTGAGGTGGCACGAGCCATTATCACAAACAAGCAAAC